GACATATAGACAAAATTTTTATTTTCACGAAAAATTTTCAATTAATGCGTAAATAAGTTATTATTTAAAAAAACATATGGTAAGTGACAAATTTGGAAAAAAAAATGATCAAATTAAATATGGGGCATTCTATTTCAAACAGTACCACTAGCAAAAGACTATCGCTTGTAGAGCACTTTTGAAATACAATTAATTATATTAAAAGTTCTTTAAATGTAAAATGTAATTAATGATTTGGAAAGAGAATTTTTCAAGCTTTTAAACGGTACTAAGCTTTTTTTTTAAAAAAATTTCTTTCTTATTATAATTTGCATTTAAAAACTTCAATTAATAATATCTCAAAACATGCCATCTTCAATTTCGTTAAAAATTGTATAAAAAGAAAGCTTAGATATTCTAGTATCTATTATCCAAATATTATAATGGGCTTTTCAGTAGATTGGGAGAAAAAAATCAAAATAAAAAATCGTTTTAATGAATTTAACAAAGAATATGAAGTCAGGACGTAACCTTTTTGAATCCTACGTCACAGTCAAATTCATTTGTTTTTTTAAATTATGTTAAGAAGATCACTTTATCAAAATCAACATGCAAAAAAATAATTTAAACATATCTTCTTTAATGACTTTGCTTTATACGTCTTTCATTATTTTTAATTATATTAATAACATAGTAAATTAAATATCATTTTCAATTTTAGGCTAAATTGTACACGTTAAATAAAATAAACAATTTTTAAAATTATTATTATTTAGAAAAATAAATATTTTACAGTAATTTAAAATAATATTAGTTACAATTAAATAAACTTTTAAATAACAGACTTATTCACTTTGATCATAACGATTTTATTTGTATTTATTTTGAATTAAATATTTTTAACAGAAAGAGGAATTTATAAATCTTCCAAAAAATTTAAACGGCCAGTAACAATTACGTTTTTCTGCGTTTCGAACATTTTCGAGTAAGGGGTTTTTGTGCTGAACGCTTTTGTGGACGACATTTTTGTGCGGAGTAAATCGTGTGTTCATTAGAGGATGAAAATTTCTTCAAAATCATTTCATTATTAGAGATAGGAATAAATGAATGGTATTGTTGTGTTCCAGGAATTGTTGAAACATTGATGAATCTTTCCTCGAGATCGTTTTTGTTTGTGTCGTAAACATTTTTCGGAATAAATCTAATTTCCGTTTCAGGTAGATGTCGTTCAGCCCATTTAAAAAGTGCAAATGCTGACAATATTTGCTGGTCAGATTTATTTTGCAAACTTGCACGCCTGGCTTGACATTTTAGATTTCCACCTATTCCATCGCATGGACCTTTACCATGACCCGTTACTTGGAAGTGCCATTCGGCTGGAATTCCAAAGTCATCCAGATGAAGTCTAAGGTTTAAAAAACTGTTTTTATTTTTAAAATGTTGTGGTGCACCGTCAGAAAAATAAATAATCTTTTTGAGAGAAAAATTTTCTTTAAGATAAGAAATGATCAACTCTTGACATTGGTATACCGACATCGTATCGTGATTTAGGTTATCCGATATTATAACCATACTTTTATGCATCAGCTTTCCATTTTCTTTGTAATAAATTACCACAGTAAATAAGGATGCCTGGTTATTATTCCAGTAGAATGCTTGAGCAGCATTCTGTGCTACAAAAGCATAATTTTCGGCATAATCAAATTGTATTAAAAAATGGCCTTCTTCCAAATTTTCTTTTTTTTCTTTTAAAAAAGATAATTGATTTTTTAAAATAAAATCATGCACTTTTAACTTTAATAATTTTTCTCCAAAATTCTTGATAAAGCCATTGACATTCTCAACTTCCGTTTTGATAGTCGTCCTGTCAGTATTTTGCCAAATTTGATATTCAATTTTATCGACTTTTTTTTCTTCAAAAATTGATTTTAAAACTTCTTCTATTCTTTTCTTTCCAGGACATTTTTTGCATTCGTTTAAATGACATGCAGGCATTGGGTCATTGCAAATAATTAAATTTATATAATCTTGATAATTCGTTAACCTGTTTTCTGAGTTTTCAGTCAATTTTTTTATTTTTGATCCCTCTATCATCAGCTTCACATTTTCATGGTGTGTACAAACACAGACTACGTGTGTACCACTAGATCCTGCTGATACACAATAGGGTGGTCTTAATTGACAAAATTTTGCCAATCCAATTTTTATATTAGCATTTTCCGCTTTAAACACTTCAAACAATTCTGATAAATTTGCTAAAAGCAATCGTTTCTGCACTGAAATACGCGAACCATCGGCTTGCTTGACAGAAATGCAATCCTTTAACCCTGGCATTACCCTACTGTGTTCATCAGATTCGTAGAATTGTTTAACAAGACTTTCAGTTTCAGAAGATAAAGGATGACCTGCTCTTGAGTTTGGTGGGGATAAAATTCCTCGCTCTGCAACAATTTTTTTTGCTTTTTTGGCTTGATGATATGTTGTATGAAATTCTTTTGATAATTTTCGATATCCCCAAGATTTCGGCGCCAATGTTAAGAGCAAAATTTTTTCTTCTGCAGAAGTAGATTCTTGAAATTTTTCAATGATTTGTTGTAAAACTTCACTACCCGCTTCGAAATGTTTTTTAGAGCTTTGAAATTTTGTCTTTTTTGGAGATTCCACTAAATTGTCATCATTTAAATTATTTGATTCGACTCCATTTGTGACTAAAAATTAAAAATATTACTTATTTTGAGTATATGAATTTTTCTAAAAAGCTAAAATCATTATAATTTATGTATTCACTTGAAAAATTTTCCAAAGATTCTAACGTATTCGGTAACGAATAAATTTGCTTTCGGCAACTATTACAAATTTTCAATCTTTTATCAGTAATGCCTGGAAATTTTATTTTTATATTTGACGAAATATATCTTAAGTGCTTTCCTCGACCATGATTTCCTTTTTTAAACGGATTTACGCATCTATCGTAGTGTACGCTAGACATATTAACGTGAAATATTAAAATTATACTCCGTATTTAAAATTAAATTCACATAGTTTTATTTCAAGTTTTTGACAAAAACCATTAATTCTTGGTTAATTGCAAAGTAATATTTTTAAAAGAAAAACAAATGAATTTGACTGTGACGTAGGATTCAAAAAGGTTACGTCCTGACTTCATATTCTTTGTTAAATTCATTAAAACGATTTTTTATTTTGATTTTTTTCTCCCAATCTACTGAAAAGCCCATTATAATATTTGGATAATAGATACTAGAATATCTAAGCTTTCTTTTTATACAATTTTTAACGAAATTGAAGATGGCATGTTTTGAGATATTATTAATTGAAGTTTTTAAATGCAAATTATAATAAGAAAGAAATTTTTTTTAAAAAAAAGCTTAGTACCGTTTAAAAGCTTGAAAAATTCTCTTTCCAAATCATTAATTACATTTTACATTTAAAGAACTTTTAATATAATTAATTGTATTTCAAAAGTGCTCTACAAGCGTTAGTCTTTTGCTAGTGGTACGGTTTGAAATAGAATGCCCCATATATACGTGAAGGATAATCAGAAATTTGTGAAAGTGAAAGTTCTTCAATGGCATTTAGATGCAAAATTTAATAAATTTAGATGTTTTGGAATTTTTTTTTTATTTTTATTACATAATTCCCCGAAGATTTTAAGTATTACGTTTATAAATAAATGCACAATGAGACATTTTTAATAATTATAAAAGAAAATCTAAAAAAAACTTTTTATTTATGAATGAAAATAATTGAAAAACATGATTTTCAAATATTTAATAAAGCATTTTATAATCATTAAATTTAATAATAATTATTATGCCTGAATTACATAAAATACTAAATGTCATCTTTTGACTGGGACGCGAATAAATTAATTTCACAGAATATACTATAAATTAGATATATTAATCAATTTAAAGTGAATGATGATAGTTACACAGTAATGAACTTTAGACACAATAATGATTATTTCAACATTTTTTTTTTTCGTCATAAAAAAAAAATCAACTAGAAATTAGAAAGTTGTCCACCTTTAAAGAATCTTTTTAATTTTTATTCACACCTTTGACCAAAAAATTACGTTTTTTATTGCTAAATATTTGTATATATTTAGTTTTTATATAATAAATTTATATTCAAAAATTTTATAACTACATTCGTATTTAAATTTATTTTTAAATTTTCTGAAATTAAAAAATTTTAAAAAAATTTTTCTTTTTTTTCTCAGGTATAAAATAAAGTTAGTAGTTTATTCGCCTACGTGTTGCATTGTACATAATATCGAGGGTGTTGAAAACGTCCTTGCATTGTTTCTCATTACCCAAGCATTATTAATTTTCATTCCTTTGATTCAGTCTCTCGTGCATTGTTAGACAAAATTAAAGATCAAGATCACGGTCACATTCCCTTCATAGAAAGAGAATCAGGAGAAAAAGAAATTTTAAAAATAATAAAATAAAAAAAAAATTTTTTTTCAACGAATTTGTCACATATTTTGCAATTATTATTTTTTTTATATGTCTCGTTTAACTTCCAACAATATTGAACGAATTCTTAATTGAATGCTTTCATAATATTCAGACCACTTTTTTATTTAAAAAATTTTACAATTGTCATTATATAATATTTAAATACCATTTCCTTAAAGACGATAATCATTTAGCGTATGCATTTCTGACAATAATTCAAGAAAGACCTCCTCCTTGATTATAATCGTTGACATAAGACAAAAAAAAAATGACAGTATTGAATACAATTTTTATAATAATTTCTTTATTTTGCGAAATAGCCATATATAGATTGTCACCACACATATATGTATGCGTCGTCACGCACGATGGGAAACATAACATTTCTAATGATGATGTCCATCCGATTAAAGGCATTCGCAACGATAAATTCACTTCCGTCAAAATAGCACAAAAATACATACTTTCACATAGAAACAACAATCAGGAAAAGAAATAAAGCCCTTGATTATCAACAAGTTATAAAGCGATCAATCCGTGAATTCTTGCTCATTTCGATTTAAGTCAGTGTATCTTTCGATTCATACCACGAGAAAATTACCCACGCCCGGAAATTATTTTCTTTTTTTTTTTTTTCGAAAAAAGATATCATTACGGAAGTTTGAATTTTGTTACGAAAATTGGAGCAAGTTCTTATGCATTTGGAACAAAATTGATTCATGTAAGAGGAATATAGAATTACTTCAATTCTCATGTGCGGTAACTCATCTGGTATTACCGATGCGTCATTATGCATCCGGGTGGTTACAAACAGTAAAAAGTGGAAAATACGTCAATAAGTGATTGGATGTGAAAAAAAAAAAATTGTGTTTATTAATTGGAGAAAATAGAAGAGAAAAAAAAATGACTAGCCTGATTTATAATCTACTATTGATCCTAAGCTTCATTAGCTTTGTGTATTCATTACCTGCAACATCATTTGTAGTGCCAGAATATCCACGACAACTTTCACTATTTACACGGCTTGATGAACAATCAAAATTATTGGCGTCTGTTAAAGATGATCAAGTGTCGTCGAAATTAACGAATAAGGATGATCTCGCCAATTGGGCGAGTTACGCTGTACGTGTTATGGCCGCAAAACTTAACAATACTATTTCCACAATTAAGGATAAAGTGAAAAAATCAATTTCCAATGATCAGGAGGAGAAAACAGAATCGTTTCTGAATTTTAACAGAAATAAGACCAACAAGAATTTGGAGAATTTAAAAAAATATGTTTCTCAAAATCGAGGATTAAATACAACACTAAAGATGACAAATACAACAAAAGAAGATAATACAACTAGAATTGATATGAAAATAAATGCAGATTCGAAAATTAATATCACCAGAAATGATTTGAAAATTGTTAACAACACTGCAGAATCGTTTAATGTGACTGAAATACCAAAAAATGGTACGTTAGGATCTGCAGAACAAAAGAAGGATGTCGAGGGTAATTCTTTGAAGATCATTCAAGCCGAACGACGTCACTATCAGATACATTCTTTTGGCAATCCGAATGTACATGGTACCCATTTTTCCCTTGCTGATGAGCCACGAAATTACCAACCAGTTGCAAATTATCTTTCCCATTTGTTGGGTAACACACATTACGATTTAACGGGAAACAAAATTATCATTCGCACTCCTGATTATTTTCCCTCGGCACCAACTCCAGCCGCCTATATTCCATTGCTTGTTCAACATCCAGAACTCTCCGATTTTCAAAGCAATCAGGTATTAGTGAAAAATCAGTTCGGTAGTGGCGAGGAAAGCAAAAAGGGAAATGAATTATCAGCACTAAAATTGTTGGAACCTACAAAAAGTACAGGAGCAACAATTGTTTCGGTACCTTCTGTTGTACCTTCTGTTTCTGCTGTACCTTTAGTATCATCTGTACCTTCTGTATCATCTGTACCTTCAGTTTCTGCTTTACCTTCTGTATCCTCTGTACCTTCTACTTTACCTTCGGTTTCTGCTTTACCTTCTGTATCTTCTGTACCTTCTGCTTTACCTTCTGTTTCTTACATACCTACTGTTTCTTATGTACCTTCTGTTTCTTTTACACCTTCTGCTTCTGCTGTATCTTCTGCTGTACCTTCTGTACCTACAGCATCTTCTGCACCATTTGTACCTTCTTCTTCTTCTTCGTCTTCTTTCCCCTCTGTACCACCCACTACTTCAACTTCTTCGCCGAAGTCAGATGTTGAGTACGTGTCAAAGCCAATAAAATTAGTTGACATCTCCGGAGAGAGTGTTAGACCATCAGAAGGAATTAGGCCAATTATCTCCGTACCATTTGAGGCAATAATTACAATAACGCGAGATCATCAATCATCATCGACACCATCGCCATTATTAACACCAATTACACCACCAACTTCATCATTGCCAATCACATTAAATAAGGATTCGAGAAATTATTACGAAATCGTAACGAGAGATCCACCTGATGAATTTCCACCTTATTTTAAACTAAATACAACAAATGACAAAAATCGTAATAATTATCCAAATATCGATGAACAGAAAAAGCAATTTAATCAAGGAAAGAAAAGAGACTGTGATAATAATAATAATAATAATAATAATAATAATAATAATATTAATAATTATAACAATAATAATAATAATGATAGTAATGAAAATAATATATCTAATGAATCAAGTACTGTAAATGTAGTATCTGAAAACGAAATTCCAAAGAAGCAGAAAAAAAAGAAGGAGAAGAATGTTGATAGTTTTAAGCAGAATAAATTTTTAGATGACAATTTTGATGATGATTTTGATGATCTTAGCGATGATTTTAAAAATGATAGCAATGATGATGATGATGATAATGATTTTGAAACTGTGAAAAAGAAGCAAAAAGATAAAGATAAATCACGAAAGAGGCAAACATCTGTTTTTAAGCAGCTTTTACAAATTTTGGGATTTTCAAAAAAGAAAAGTCGTGATAATAATACAATGGATATTCAAATAACGACTTCGCCGGTTTTTAAAGTTTTTACAGCCAACAGATTACCTGGAGCAAAATTTGAAAATGTAGGTTTTATTAATAATTAACATTTGAATTTATTAAATAAATATAATATAATATTTAAAAATACAATTTTAATTATGAAAATTTTATTTATTAAAATTCATTCAACACTTTTTTTAAATTTATTTTTCTCAGCAAAAATAAATAATTATTTTTTGATTTCTAGACAGCGTCAAATCGTGGCCGAAGGAATCAAACTTCCGTTAATAATGATATTCCAGATAATCCAAATCCATTGGAAAATGAAATAATTCCATCAATTGATGATAAACCAAAGAAGAGTAATGATACATTGGAAAATCAAGAATTTGACGATGACGATGACGAAGTATATTTATTATATGTTTAATATTAAATTATTTTTAAAATAATAAATAAAAATAATTAAGAATAAAAATATTTTAAATAAAATTAAAAAAAAAATTAAATAAATTGATTCACAGGAAGAAGGATCTTTGGGTTCGATTACAGATCTTTTGCCATTGGTTATACCTGTTCTCGAAGATTTGAGTGATGTAAGAAAAAAAAAAGTTTCTCGACTTTCTCGTAATAAAAATTTCACAAAATCTCAATCCATTACTTTTTTTTGATATATATATTTTTTTAATTATATTTTTTATTTTAATTTCAGCCTGAGTCAGATACTGATTTGGCAGAATTACTGGAAGGTGCAATCCCATTGCTTCAGGGACTTTCAGAAGTAATTAACAAATAAAAAAAAATTATTTAAAAATAAAATTCATTTTTAGAGTTTTATTTTTATTATTTTCATTATTATTTTGATTAGAATTTTTTTATTTAATTTTTAGGGTGAAAATGATGATGGTACGCCAATTGACGTTGCGGCAACAATTTCGCCGGTTATTCAAGCCATTAGCGCTGTATGTGAATTTCATTAGAAAAAATAGTTTTGCTTAATATTTTTTTAATTAACAATTTTTTTTTTTGCTAATTTTTAGGGAAAAGGTGGACAGGACAGTGATAGTGGAGCTATTTTAACTCCAATTATAACTATCGCTGCGCCATTTATTGGACCTGTTTTGGGTCCATTAATTGGTCCAATTTTGAGATCAAGCAGCAATGTAAGTTTTATTTTATATTTTAAAATTTGTAAAATATATGAAAATTAGATTTATTTTTTATAAAATAAAATTTAAAAAAAAATATAATTTTATTTATATGTAGTATAATTTTAATAAAAAAAAGAATTTTTAATTTGGTTAATTTTCAGCCTCATAGTGAAGGATCTTCTGTGACTGCTTTTGTTCAATCTATCTCGGGTCCACTCAGTAAGGTATGCTGTTATTAAAATAAAAAAATTAATAAGATTTTCTTTTTAATTTAATATTAATGGTAAATTAAAAATCATTTTATTATTATTTATTTTATAATCACTTTATTATAATTATTTTAAATTTATTTTCATTAAAAAAAAATCATAATTTTTTGTAGCCGACTGAAGAAGGTGGAATGTCTCCTCTCTCACAGCTTGTCGCTGGAATCGTTGCTGGATTAAGTCGAGTATGTAAAATTAATTTTTCACATTATTCTCAAATTACAACGACAGATAATTGGACATAAAAAAATTTATAGAATAAAATAAAAAAAATTAATTGTATTCGAAAATTGTTTTTAAAAACTGTGAATTTTGGGAAATTTTCTTTTCCAGGAATCAAGTAAAGGAGGCGCAGGATCGGATGTTGGGGCATTGATTTCATCTGTAGTTTCCGGTACACTGGCAGGTACAAGTGCAGGACTTAGTGGTGGGTCAAGTTCTGGGTCAAAGTCAGGGTCACATCCAGCACAAAAACCTGATTCTTACGGTGCATATGCACACTATGGTCCAGTAAGTGCCTAGCATCCGAAAGTATCTTTTCTTTTTTAATTAGATAATTCATTTTTTGGTAGGAATTTTAATTTTATTTTAATTTTATTATTTTATTTTCATTTTAGAAAATTAGAAATTAATTTCGAACATTTGGAAATCTGAAATAAAATTTTGAAAATTCCCAGATAGCACGGAAACTTGCAGCAAGCTTACCGTGCAAGCTTGCTGTAAGCTTTCCAGGAAAGGTTGCTGCAATCTTTCCATGAAAGATTGCTACAAGATTGCTGCAAGCATACTAAGAAAGATTGCGGCAAGCTTGCCGTGAAAGATTGCTGTAAGATTGCTACGTAAGGTTGCAGGAGAATTTCAACAAGCTTCTGGAAAGGTTGTTGCAAGCTTGCTGCAATTTTTAAAAAATACATTTTAAATTTAAAAAAAATTTATTTGTTTTCTAAATTTTAAAATCCTTGTGACGTTTATTATTATTAATTATGTCCTGTTTATTTTCATTTGGAAACTTAACGAGAAAATTTTCGGAACAAATTTGAGGGAACTGGGTTTCCGTGCTATCTGGGTTGAGAAGAATTGAAAAAATGAATTTGAAGTTAAAAATTTTGATTATTATTTAGGCAACAGTGCCAGCAAGTTCGGTGAATACTTTGCAATTAATTGGCAGTACACTTAAGGATATTCTTGGTGCAAGTGCAACAATAGTTTCGTCACTTCTCGGTGGTGTATCGGGATTACTTGGAGCCTCATCAGCAGGATCATCATCTGAGGAACCATCACCTGGCTATGGACCACCGTCTCCATCTTATGGTCCTCCAAATTATAAACCACCTCATCTCGTTAACGCTCCCGCTGGTTTAAAACCTCCACCCCTACCAGTAAAATCTTCCAATAAACCTTCGAAAAACACGTTTAATCGATCCCAATAATTTTTCATACTAAACAAAAATATATTTTTTTTACAAAATCTATTTATCAATACAAAAAAAACGATTGCAACAAGTTTTGCCCTCTCGCTTGGTTTAGAAAAAAAAACACACGTGATATAATTAATTTGTTATCTTACTTCCTGTCGTAATTATATTATACCTCAGTTTGATAGATAATGTCGCAAAAAAAAAAAAAAGAAAAATGTTTTTACGCATGAAAGAATTGTATATAGAGAAATACTTGCATGATATGAGATTATCATTGTGAATATAACTTTAGGCGGAAATATTCAACGTCTTCCGGCATTTGTGGTCTAGAGGGAAGTGTTGACAAAATTGTATGCATCAAAGGATAATTATTTTTTCAGTCAATAAATATTCTTAAATTACACACATATAATATTTCTTGTGTCGTAAATCATTATGTATATATACAATGTATGTAAGAGGTCTTTATTACGAAATGACTCGTGGAAATAAATTGAAATTTGCAATTTTATCATTTATCAAAAAAAAGATGATGGAAACATTATAGAATTTAATTTAAATTCTTTTTATGATTAAATGGTTTTAGAGAGAAATATATATATACAGAAATATATTGAGAATTTTTGATAGAATTATCTAATGATGAATTAAATAATTAAAGAATTGATAATTAGCTAATGAAAGTAATTATCACTAATAATGAATGAATACAAGAAATTTATATGTTACTTAAAAATAAATAACAAATTAGCAGAGAAAAGAAAAATGTATCTAATTAATGATAAAAGAAAAATTATTATAGAAAATACATAATAATTATTTATTTTTAATAAAAATATTTATTTTAATGTGATAATTGCTGGAAATTAAATTAAAAATTGAGAAGATTAAATTATCGTTTTATTTTTTATAACTAATAATATTTTCTTCAATATATTACTTGATTAGAAGGTTATATACAATTTAAGCGAAATCGATTTCTCAATTTAATGATTTTATCGCAATCTTGTTAGATAATAATTCATAATTGTATATTATACATTGTGTATAGTTTATCCACAGCATTAATATCTATCAATTTCAGGGGAAAATATTTTTGTTCACAAAAGACTGTAATTATTTTCATGATACCATTAATGTTCCATAATTGCGAAAACATTTTTGCAAACATGTGTTATTAATCCATTACTTAAATAAAAAATTAAAACTACTCCAATAAAACTTTTTTTCTAATTAAGTAAATTAACAAACAGAAGGTTTAATAATAAAGAGATTACCTACATAGAAATCTACCTTGCCGACTGATGGTAAAATAGTTTTTTAGAATGTAAAAATATAAAAAATATACCGACCTAGAAATCTACCTTACCGACCGATGGTAAAGAAACTTTTTAAAAATGAAAATATAAAAAATTATCGACGCAGAAATCTACCTTACCGACTGATGGTAAAGAAACTTTTGAAAAATGAAAATATAAAAATTACCGACGCCGAAATCTACATTACCGACTGATGGTAATGAAAAATTTTTCCCAAAAAAAACCGTTACCATGACCATTTTTTCCTTGGCAACGGTTGCTATGTAAATAAAAATCGAGGAATTAAGAAACGAATGAAAAATTAAATTATATACTTTTTGCAGAAACAAAAATTGCAAAAGAGAATCTAGAAATCTTCTTTGTCGCATTAGATGCTCCATTTGAAGTCGGATTATGAGTGGTATAATTGGACCGCGACTTTCTAATTGTCAAGTATTAAAGACTATCTTCAAAATTGTTTTCATTTCGCAGACTGTGGTCTTTAAAAAAAAAAAAAAATAGTGAAAGTACATAAAAGTGGTTTTGACATTTTCTGCACATGGAAGTAATTATTAAAAATCCAAAAGTCTTCTTCTTTTTTTCCCTCTCTCTCTGTTCCTATTTCCTTGTTAAAAGTAATTAAAAACACAACTCAAAAAAACAGTGGCAGAAAATATATATAATAATTTACATCTCTTGATCAAATGGACCTAATCGAATGAACAGTGAAAGCCTTTTATATAGGTTTCACTATTGACCTATGATTCCTTCATTTCCGGATATATATATACTGTCAATATAATCATTTATATTTCTGTCAAAAGATTTTTTTTTATTTCTTTTTCAAAAAAAAAAAATTTTTTTTATTAGAAAAATTACTTTTAATCATTACATTAATTATTTTATCTCGAAAGTGGCTTTTATTTTTCTACTTTATAATGCAATTTTCTCTGATTTTATTTGCAGAAAAAAAAACCTTTAGACGATGCACCCTTGCAAAATATGTAATAGAAATCTTGTTCTCATTTTAAAATCAGAGCAAAAGTTGTTTACGCTTTTCATTTATATGCAAAAATTTGCAATCTCTTCCCTCTGATTATATCTAATATCAACAAAAAAAAAAAAAAGGAAAAACAATAACGACAATAACATTGTATGATGTAAAATTGAATTTAATTAGAAATTTTATTTTGATTACATAAATTATTTATCATGTTATACAGATCAGTCTACAACCTATGATCTACATTAAAACAAAAAAAAAGTGTACCTGATCTGAATCCGAAACATATAAAATGACTGAAGATTTATTATATGTATATATAAATACTGTGCGACATAAATAATTATTAAAATTTTCATTTAAAGAAAATTTTCTTTTATAAAGAAAAAGGAAAATTTTATAATTTGAGTGAATAAAATTTTTTATAATTATTAGAGTTGAATAAAATACTATAATTAAACGAGTCCATCACAATGGATCCAACAGTATAATTGGAGACTAAAAAAAAATTGATGTTCACGGAAAAGGACTATTTCTGAAAGATTGGGTCAATTGCGAAGGCCATTTCACTTTCCATTCTTGGATGAAAGTAAAATTTTTGCCTTATACGAGAGCTGACCTCGTGTGGCACTTTTATAAATCCCAACCTTCTCAAGGAAGTCTCTTAATAATAATCCGAAATAAGTCGATGACTTTTAGATGATCATTTTTGTTTTGCCTCGTCTTTTTTTTTCGTAACGGTATGTTACTCAATCACTTTTAATGTGACTTCATCATTATTATTTAATCAAAGTCAAAGGCCGGAATCTATGAAGAAATTTCCGTAAAGGATTATTTTTAGATGTACTTATAATTATTTATATTAAATGATATAATAAAAATAATAATAAATTTATTTAAACATTATTAAATAGTAATAATAAAATTTTTATTTTATTCAGTATACGGGACTCGCCCTTTAACTATAAATTATTTATAATATGATAAATATATTATAATTATAATTATAAACAATTATAGTATTAAATTATTATTATTATAGTATTAAAAATATTTGCAATAATAATAGGCCAATTATTATTGTCCTTTTCTATAAAAAATTACTATTATTATTATTATTATTATTACTTATATTTTTATAAATAATTATAATTATTTTCTTAACACTATTTTTATTCACTGGAATTATTAGATTTTTTTTTCGTTTCTATGCGAGAAGTAGGAAAATAAATTTTTTTTTCCTCGCTCGTAAAAGGCGTATATTAACTTGAAGGCGCCATATGGTTTTAGAATTATTAATTTCGCATATAATGCGATATGAGCGAAACTAGCGGGACATTTCTCTTATAAAATGAGAGTTGTTTTTTTTTTGCTTTATGCAAATTTGTAATAATTAGATCACAAGTGACTGCACGCACCGTGAGGAATCATATATATATATATATATATATCTAAGTAATTGCCTAACTATGCTGATAAATACTTAATTGATTACAAGTTTATTTATGCGAATCGATTTGCCGCGCGAAAGGAAGTATAGCGTATAAACGATTATTCTTATGAATATTGAAAAAAAAATTTATAATATTTTTAACGTTTTGGTTAATTTTTAGTCAAAAAAGAAAAAATTGTTAGTATTTTATTATTTATTATACATATTTCTACTATCACTTAGATATTTTCTACTATAAATAAGTTGTTTTCTTTTATTAGTTATTTTTTATTATCAGTTATTTTCTATAATCAGTTATTTTCTACTATCAGTTATTTTCTACTATTCATTATTTTCTACTATCAATATTTTCTACTATCTGTTAGTTATTTTCTATAATCAGTATTTTCAATAATTAGTATTTTCTATTATTAGTTATTTTCTACTATCAGTTATTTTCTACTATCAATTATTTTCTACTATCAGTTATTTTCTACTATCAATTAGTTACTTTCTACTATCAGTTATTTTCTATAATCAGATATTTTCTACTATCAGATATTTTTTATACTCAGTTATTTTCTACTATCAGTTATTTTCTACTATCAATTAGTTACTTTCTACTATCAGTTATTTTCTATAATCTGTTATTTTCCATAATCAGTTATTTTCTACTATCAGTTATTTTCTACTATCAATTAGTTACTTTTTACTATCAGTTATTTTCTATAATCAGTTATTTTCCATAATCAGTTATTTTCTACAATCAGTTATTTTCTACTAATAGTTATTTTCTATACTCAGTTATTTTCTACTATCAGTTATTTTCTTTTATTAGTTATTTTCTACTATCAGTTATTTTCTACTATCAATTAGTCACTTTTGACTAAAAAGCTAAATGTTAGCAGAGATAGCTAACTTTTTTTCTCTGCGAAGAAAAGTTTTTCAAATACAGAAATTATTTGTTCGAATACAATTTATTTAGTTCAAATAAACATTGTTTGGTTCAAGTAAATATTTATTTCATAATATAGTCAAGTAACTGATTATTTGAGACAAATAAATTTTTTTAGGGTATAATTAATAGAAATAGTTGGTTAATTAACTACCCATTAATTAAATTAATCATCATTATCATTATTCAGTTAATGGATTAATTAATTAATCAATTTTTGGCTATATTTATTTTAAATTTTATATAAAAATGTAATTAAATTATACAATATAATACTTTGTATAATAGTAATAATACATTACAATGTATGTTTAATTACTATTCAATAAAAAATTATGAAATAAAGAAAAAAAAATTGAGATTTTTTTTAGTCTGAAAATTATGATGAATCAGGGCGTGTATAAATATATCCATAGGGTCCCGACCCCCCGTGTTTATGATCACATAAGATCATGGATGCTCAATGTAGATCTCCATATATTTCAAAACTCACTTGATCTAGTGGATCACCGTGTTCCAGAATGTCTCATTTATCACGAGGATGACGATCAATAAACAAGGATATTACAAAACAAACCTATATTGCAATAATTACAGTCTAGAGTATATTTATAACAAAAAAGTCCATTCAACTATTTAAGCGCATTATTTAATCAATCAATTTTTATTTGTATAAACTGTTTTTTTTTTACAGAAAAAACGTTCTTCATCGTAATTAATAAAA